CCGCCGCCGCCATCATTTATTCATCCTATCAAGATGAGACCAAGTCTAAATTTTTGTTCTGTACAGTTAAGAAATTTCATCAAATATGATGTTATAAAGTAAGTACTATTTGAATTCAGTGAGAAGCCAGGATAGCTCAGTCATTATACCAACAGGCTATGGGCAGGATGACTTGGGTTTATAGCATTCATCATTTGTATCTGCAACTCAAATATCAAAATTGTTTTGTCCTCTTAGAGTCATATATTTCAGTGGACAGATGAAACTGAGAGCAATAGGTATTCACAGTATACTAGCTAATTTATCACAAAATGAATTATTTCTATGATCTTATATTACAAGTTTGAATGATACTGTTACAGGCAACACAGAGTTCTAGTGGAACAGTGGACTTCATGTTGCAGTATTCCACATTTGATTGTGGAGGTTCAATCTCTGGTCCTGTAGAGGTGGTGACAAGTCCTATGGCATCCAATGGGATGTACCCGCCAAACACTGCATGCGTGTGGGATGTCACATATCCTTCAGGGTCTGTCATAAATGTGGGTATCTTGTAATGCAGCCATTAAGATAGTATCTTTAAGGATGTAATCATGTAATTATCAGTTTTAGAGACTAGAGTTCTGTGAGCAGTATGTGGCATGCATGATTTGGAACTTTCATGGCAGTGTATTATTTTAGTAAACAGAGTCCAAATACATTCATACTGATGAATGAATGTATTTGGACTCTGTTATGTCGGGGTACACAGTAGCGTAGTTGGTTGAGGGGCTATGCTACAAGCCAGAAGGTCGCGGGTTCAAGTCCTGATGAGGTCATTGAATTTTTTTCAGTTGACCTAATCCTTCCAGCCACACTATGGCCCTGGGGTCGACTCAGCCTCTAACAGAAATGAGTACCAGGAATTAATTAAATAATTTTCCTGGGGAGTAAAGCGCGGCCAGCGCGTAAGGCTGACAACCTTACTGCCATCTTTGAACCGATTGTCTAGATAATGTGGGACCCTCAACGTCTCACAACCATATGGGCCTTCACGGCCTGTTACAGGGATAGCTTTACTTTTTTTTTTACTTTACTCTGTTATTTCAGATAATTTTCATAAAAATATGACAGTTTAGGAACTGCCTCTATTATGAGACTTAAAAGCAGGCATTTTTCTCTTTCGGGTGTTATTTCAATGAATGGTGACTTTCTGTGCTGCAGCAATAATAACAACAACAACAACAACAATAATAATAATGATAATAATGTCATGTGTTGGGTGTGTCACGTGACAAATAACTTCACGCCGTTTTGGGTCTAGCAAATTTATTGCACATTCGCTCTTACGCTTATACAATTGACAATTTTACAACTACTACCATCTGCAGTTTCACAAATACTTCTCCTGCTGTAGTCACTGCCATGCACTTGATACAACCTGACTCGGCAACTCCTAGATCGAAACTGACTGGTTACTCTCTCTAGTAACTCACTACTCTGAATAGTGATCGCTGCTCCTTATTTAGGCTTGGCACAGACAACACAGAAAACAGTTACGTGATTAGGTACCACTGTTACATAACTTCGTGTTTACCGATTGCCTAGCAACAGTCATTACATGGGCTCCCCTGTTGCATGACGCTGTGTTTACCGATTGCCTAGCAACAGTCACTGCCCGGGTTCCCCTGTTGCGTGATGTCACAGCCTAGTGGGGAGGGGTGTTTACCGAGCGTTGTGTAATGGTGGAAAGATTGGGGGTATGTGACGTCACTTGATAGAACGCAGAGTTCACGTGACCCCTACTTCCTGTGGCGCCATCCACATCACAATAATAATAATAATGTGACATGTTGCGCAAACGAGAACCCCCCCCACCAGCAGCAGTGACGCGGCGGGTGAGTCAGCGCTCCCCTCCCCCTCCTCCGCACGGTAACGTAACGGTGACGCAACAGGATTGTTACGGTAGTAACAACGGTTACTACCGCTAGCGCTGCTAGCAACACAGCGCCAGGCAACAAGGCCGTTTTCTGTATTGTCTGATCGAGGCTACATGAGGAGCAGCGAAGGCTATTCACAGTCAGTTGTACTGAGTCAGTCAGTGAGTCAGTGCGTTACCAACGAGTTCTCAGTTCGCAAGTTACGAGCTACAGACGTGTGTGTAATTGTGTAATTGGGAGTGTGTGATACAGTGATACATAGCTCCCCTACTGTCAACGTGTGGACTACTGAACCCAGAGTGAGCTGATTTGCGCATTGGGTTATAAAGTGTGAAACCCCGCAACAGCGGTAACAGATTAATGCGATTAGGGTTATAAGTCGTGAAACCCCGCAACTGTGTGATAATTAATTGTAGCCGTTATTTGTAGATTGTTAAATAAACCAATTAACCATCTCTACGGCGTCTTCAGTAACGTAAACACGTTACAATAATAATAATAATAATAATAATAATGTCTTTATTGAATACATAGGTGTTGTATGTAGTAATACATGTTACTAGTGCTCTAAGAGTTCCACAGAGCTGGGCCCTTCTTGAGAAACCGCCAGTTGTTCAGCCACTTATGACATTACCAACATTTATGGAACCTTAAGGTTTGTTACCATGTTCACAAAAGCCATCCACTGGTCCCTATCCTGAGCCAGATCAATTCAGTCCATACCACCCCATCCTTTCTTTCTAAGAGTCATCTTAATCTTATTCTCCCACCAATGTCTAGGTCTTTCTAGTCGTCTCTGTCCTTATGGCTTTCTGACCAAAATCCTATATGTATTCCTCTTCATTCCCATGTTACATACATACTACATGCCCTGCCCATCTCATCCTCCTTCACTTGATCATTTTAATTATACTTGATAAAGAGTACAAGTTATGATGAACACCTAATTATCATAATTTTAATTTGGTAGTTTGACTAGATTTTCATTTAAGAAACTTGTTTTGTATGTAATGTTCATACTTTACTGTTAAATGAAAGTTTATATGAGAAAACATCCTTGAACCCCTCCATTCTCTCTTTGCCACATCATATTCATTACTTATTTCTAAGAAATTTATCAGAGGTTTCAACCATGTTGATGGTACAGATAACATTCGTCGCCATGAGGCTTGAGAGTGACTGCAGCCATGATTACCTTCGTATTCGGAATGGACCACGTCCGTCATCTCCACTCATCAACACATACTGTGGTACCAACATCCCAATGCCAGTTCTGTCAGAATCCAATGCTTTATGGATTGAATTCTATTCTGATGGTTCCAATGAAGACCAAGGATTTGTCCTGAGGCTGGAGTCTGTGTTTGAAGGTGAATTTTCAACACTGTACTCACAGATTGTATGTATTTAAAGAGGTACAGTTCTCATATGGGGTGGCTTGTGAAGGTTGGTCTTTTATCTCCAATTTTCAGCATGTTAATGTCAACCTGCAGTCCATATTTCATGACACATTATGTTTACTTCAGTGGTCAATGATGGTGCCATATTGAATACCAGTAAAGAATCACATAAAATATTATACTGTTTCCTGTCTAAATCAGGGACGTGAACATCAGAACAAAAAGCTAATTAAAAGCATGCATACACAGTCCAGTAAAATATAGGTAAATAGAATTCTTCTGAAATAATAAAAATAAATTACACTTATTTCTTGATCCAAGTGAGCAGCTCCTCCCCTCTCTACCCTACTGAATTTCCAGGAGGGGGATTGCTGCCATTGTCCCTGATTCACTTTTTGTGTTCCAAATGCCCCCCCCCCCAGTTAGTCTGGGGTGTCCAAGCTAGCAGTGATTCAGAGAAAGGTTCTTCTTCAGTGCTAAGTATTTAATAACAATAAGAACAACAACATTAACACAAAATTAAATAACAGTAACTAAACACTCATATCAACAAATTGAATATTATTGTTCACTCTTGCACTCAGCTGCTTGTAGAGTACAAAATAAATCACAAACAAAAATACAATAAGAGTATGTAATTGACAAGAACTCAGAGCGCTGAATAATCTTTGCTCTAGAGGTATATAACTACCTTCTTGTAATCTCATTAACTAGCCCTCCAGAAACACATTCTTGGGGCAATGCTGACAAGAAAAAACATAATATATATCTCAGCTCGACTCACTTAACAACATACGCATGCAGGAGATAATTACTACCATACAAAGGGGGCACTAAGGAAGCCCCAATGATATCACAGTATTTAACTGAACGCCCAACATTTATCTCTCTTCCGCAAGGTGGTCAGAGCCCCTGATGGTCAAAACAACAGACCAAAGCAGAATTTTGAATGGGTTTTCAAAACCGAACTCCCACCTACCTCTGATGCCTGGTGACCCACTGAGAAGGGTTCTCACTCCATTTATCCGGACCAAGCTGGCAGACAGAGTATACTAGAACAATTGGGGGGGGGGAGAACAGGGAAGGTGAGTGCCTGGCCATCGGATGGTACCAGAACAACTACAATCAAGGCATATGTAAACATGGCTCACAAGTTCTTCACCATGTTCATTATTACTTGTAAATGTTCGGGGATCAGAAAGACAGAGAACCAATTGCATATCTATAACTTTATTTTAAACGGTATTTAAAAAATGTGATCCGTAAGAATTTTAAGATTACTGTCTTTTTGGATATAATGTCATGTAGTCCGTTGAAAGTTAACCAACATTTCGGAGGAACATATTGCCTCCATCTTTAGGGTCAAAGAATAAGCGTAGCAAGAAACCAGCATCAAATCAGATAGCAAACAGAGCTCTTAATCTGAAACCACTGAATTTGTAGATTATTTGAACAAAGTGCATAATATGGTTGCATAATGGGGACATTTCTGTATTCACATGCTTCATTTCTGAAACTGATCTTGGCAAAATTTTGTATTGAGGGCCTTTGCCAAAGGTTGCAAAGTGAATTTAATTTTGATATGTATTATTCGATATAAATCCCTGATAAGCTATGTCAATTTGCTGTGTATTGCAGTGGTACACACAACAGTCTGAAGACAGTGTGAAAATATAAATAATACCTTACATGAAGCTTAAATCAAACTTTATCAATTTTCTCATAAATGGTTCATTATACCAAAAATTTATATATATAAAATACATTTTATTCAGAAACATTAACCTTCAGTCATTTCAATATGGTTTCATATTTTGGAATATTAAAGGAGAGATCAGGGGCACATGGTACTATAGTTTGTTGAGACACTATACTACAAGCTGGAAGGTTGCAGGTTAAAATTCCAATAAGGTTATTGAATTTTTTAATTTACCTAATCCTTCCAGCTGCACTATGGCCCTGCAGTCGACTCAGCCTTTAACAGAAATGAGTACCAGGAATTTTCCTGGGGAGTTAAAGGGCAGCTGGTATGTAAGACTGACAACCTCACAACCATCTGAGAGCCGATGTTCTAGAAAATGTGGGAGCCTCTACATCTCAGAATCATATAGGCTTCCTTGGCCTGTTACAGGGAGAGCTTTATCATTCTTTTAAAGGAGAGATTAGATGAGTTTCAAACAGATGCTTCTAAGAACTCGTTAGTTTCTTTCACTTTTCAGAACATATGACCTACATTGAAAATAAATTCATATACATAAATAGGAGGATCTAATTCTCTCTAAGGTGTTTATGTAAGGTGGGCATACAAATGTGATATAGGATTGTCATCAACTGTTGTCAGAGGATGTAGAATTGTGTGTCTGTCTAGTTCTTATCAGGAAAGTTCAGGTTTTATGATGCACATTTAGATGAAGCCCTTCTCTGGGAAACTAAATGGTTCTACAGGTATATTCATTTACAACAATTATGAAACATAATAATTAATAAAATATTACTGGTGACAATTACTAATTAAGTGGTAACCAAGTGTAAGTGAATTTGAAGCCCCAAATGCAAGTCAGGTAAGTTACAAAGCACATTCTTGGAATTTCTTTTGAATATTGTTTCTTTAAATCAACACAGTACTTTGAAATAATTAATTTAGTGTCATTTAGAAGTTAATTTTGAATCTGTAGATTTCCTTTTGGATCATTGTTAGCAGGAAATATTGACACAGCACCCTTATCACAAAATAATCGCACCATCTACATCTAGAAAGTTGCATGACAGACCATATATGAGGGACAGTGCCATTTCAGCTTTCAGTTATTATATAGAAGTAAACTTGTTGACTGTGCACGTACACTCTGGATAGAAAACAGAGTGTGTACCTTAAAACTAATGATGGTCAGGACTATTTTTCATCTTGGGAAAGAGTTAAGCAAGAGGTTCCTAAGGGTCGGTTTTGGGACCACTTCTATTTATTCTTCTATAACTTCTATAAATTAGTACAGTCCTATACAATAATACAAACAATAATACAAACACTGATACAGTTGTAGTCAGTACATAAACTGTGTGATTATATTATCTGTAGGAGAGACAATCAAGACAAAGTGTTCATTGAGAAGTTGATTTATAATATTCATCAATACTATAAAAAACATGTTCAGTGAGATAGCTTTTTAATAAAATTTGAATTCTTTAATATCTTTGGATAGCAATTTAATGTTTGACGGTAAGTGGTTATAAATCTTGCTACCCGAGAAAAGCACTCTTTTTTGAACTGTTGATAGATTTGTAGAAGGTAAATCTATCTAATGATGTGGGTTGGTTTTAACTGACTCAGGTTCATATCCAATGAGAGGGATTTGTATTTTTGATGCTGAATCGTCAAATTCTAATTACACAGGATTGATTAATTATTTATGATAGTTCACGTTTTTTCTTTCTTTCTTTATTTCTCCCTCTCTCTCTCTTTTTTCTGTTCATTAGTTGTATTGAGGGGAATAACACCCAGTAAGGCTTCTAACATGGCAATGATTTATGCTTTTGTTGCAGGTTGTGGAGGGCTGCTGCATACCAAAGGCAACACATTTACTTCCCCTAAATACCCAGGGAAGTATCCACCAAATTCAGAGTGTACATGGGACATCCAAGTGAAAGATGGCTACTTTATCTCTCTTAGCTTCATAGAGCGCTTTGATATAGAGCAGTCAACAGAATGTTCTGAAGACTTTGTGCAGGTAGTAGGTCATTGTTACACATAGCATAGCATTCTGAAAAGATGCTTGTGTGTCCACCATGTTATTTTGTGAATCAAACAGCTGTGTAAGGTGGAGGGTTTTTGCTCACAGAAGCAGGCTAGAGTATGATGTATGTTAATCTAACCATTAGTAGACTCCTTACAGAACCCCCAGGAGATTTTGGCTGCATCTTCACACCAAGGAGAGAGTTCCCAGCTGGAACACTGATTGCAGAAGCCATCCCTGCTGTATGCTCTGGAGATAACAGAGCTCCAACCAATCATCATAGCTGGACCCATAATTGAGCCCAGCTGAGACCCTGGCCCTCCTGAGAGAAGGACCCCCCCATCCACTGCCAATTCCACAGTTTCCATTTGTTCTCTCTGATGGCTGGATTTTCCATTCCCATCAAGAAATCTCTTTCAGTTTCTCCTCAATGGACCCCTCACCAGAGCCCTTGGGAGATATGCCCATTTCTGTAGAGTCAGAAGACCCAGTAATTGATCCCTGTAATGTAGCAAAAACTCTTCATAACAACAGGAGACCACATAAATGAGCCATCCAGTGCAAGGGGAATTTTTCTTCCTCCAGTATATTGATGAAGGGAAACCTCTATCCCATCTCTTGTCCTTTGAAGAACCATGATCACTCTCCTGGGCTAGACCTATAACTGAGCTCCAGCTGAGCCCTCATTTCCTTAAGGGGAACCATCTTTTTGACCACTTCTGTACTAGGCAATCCAGTTCTGCTTATCGATGGTCTGGTTGCTTGCCCCAATTTATAAAAACCCCCACCCTCAGTGGACTCTCATTAGAGCCCCTGAGAGATTTTGGTCACTGTAGGAAGATCTATCCCCCCCATAAAGCTATGCATGTGGAGCAATGGCTGCCTTATAGTGGAATGTTGCCTTGTATCCAAGGGAACCACTCACCTAACTGCTATGCAGGCCCCAATGTGGTAGCTCACACTTTACCTTAGGCACTACCTCTTCCAGTCAGCCAGCCCAGGCTCTTTGTCCCCAGGTAGGCCAGCTTGCTGCCACAGGAAGGCAGATGGGGTTACTTGGTTCCCAAATGCAGTTATTAAAATATGGCTAAAGTGTATGCTACATGTAATGCTTGAAAGTGTGTTGTTGTGATAATCTGCTCATATAAACAAATTTTATTTTCCCTGATGTCAGAATGATCGCATTTGAATTAATGACCATACCTGTCTGTAAGTACTTCCATTCACCCACAATTTCAATTAAGGAAACACACTGGCAGATTCGTGTGGATTATTTGTTCTTGTATTCAAATGCACAGTAATATAATTTATATATACATGGAATTAGCACTTTTGTTTCATTACCCTCACAAGCTGATTCCAACTAGAACAGGCTAGTCCATCATGAAGAGGAGTATTAAGTAAGGAGTTTCTCAATAGGTATTTTTTGGCAGTCTTGACTTAGTTCATCTCTCTTAGGTGTGAACATTGTTCTTTATGCTTTTATCATATGCTTGTAATTTATGTTCCTTATGATGTTGAATTCCATTGTTGAGCATTTTCAGAATTTAAATGGCTTTTCAGGTGTTTGATTTTGTGAATGATGAATGGGTGTCCCTGCTGAAGCTTTGTGGTAGGGATCTACCTGCCATGATCAATTCAACAGGATCACAGATGCGAGTATTGTTCCATAGCAATGCAAGAGGCAGCAATAATGGGTTTAAGGTAATAAGCTTTTTTGGTTTCAATCCCTTTCAAGACCACTTGTTCCAGTGATACTTTTCTCAGTTCTAGACAAATTCTGGAGTAATAAATGCTAATAACTTACTGATAAATAAATTCATATTTAGATATTATTTATGACAGACTGTAGCCATAGTAGCTGATTTATTTACTGCTTAATAAATTTTGTTAAAAGATTTCAATGCCTGAGTAGGTAAGGAAGACATTTTCAAACCAACAGTTGGGGATGAGAGCTTGCATGAAATTAGTAATGATAATGGAGTTAGAGCAGTAAATTTGTCACATCAAAAAATCTTACTGTCAAAAGTACAATGTTCCCACATCATAACATCTATAAATTTACTAGGACATCTCCTGATGGGAAGACACACAATCAAATCAAACATATTTTGTTAGAAAGGAGACTGCATTCAAGTGTACTTGATGTTCAGTCATTCGGGGCAGCAGATTGTAATACTGACCACTACCTGGTGGTGGCAAAGGTTAGGGAAAGACTGGCAGTGAGCAAACAAACAACACATAGAGTTCATATGGAGAGGTTCAATCTCAGGAAATTAAATGAGTTAGAGGGTAAAGAGCAGCAGCATGTTAAAATCTCAAATAGGTTCATGCCTTTGGAAAATTTAGACACTGAGGTGGATGTTAAAATACTTGGGTAACTATTAGAGAATATATAAAAATGTCTGCCAAAGAGAGTCTAGGTTACATGAACCGAAGAAGCATAAGCCACGGTTTGATGAAGGATGATCGAAATTATTAAACCAAAGAAAACAAGCCAAATTGCAATAGTTACAAGATCCAAGCAAAATAAATGGGAATAATCTGAACAACATAAGATGTGAAACCAGCAGGCATTTCAGGAATAAAAAGAGGGAATATCTGAAAGACAGAATTGATGAGCTTGCAATGAACAGTAAGAACAAGATCATTAGAGATCTGTATAGAGGAATAAATTACTTTAAGAGAGTCCATGATTTACTTAAACCGTCTTGCAGTGCATACACTCATTTATCTCCTTCTCTCCCTCGCACTACATGTTTAGGCATAATAATGCCATCTTCAGGTGCTTACTTATCCACACCAAACTAATTCATTGCATGCCTTGTTCTCATATTAAAATAACTAAAATATGTATCTATCATATACATTGTCAAACGTTAAAAATATTAAAATTGTTCAGGATACCACATTGCTACGTCGCACCTCACTACGCCAGTCACGCCCATTCTCCTCTGTTGGAGCACTCCTTCACTATCTTGTGTGTGTTGTGCTTTTGTTGTGTCTTGCTCCTGTGACTGCATGTGTTATACAGTATAACACACGCAGTCACAGGAGCAAGGAGTGCTCCAACAGAGGAGAATGGGCGTGACTGGCATAGTGAGGTGCGACGTAGCGATGTGGTATCCTGAACAATTTTAATATTTTTAACGTTTGACAATGTATATGATAGATACATATTTTAGTTATTTTAATATGAGAACAAGGCATGCAATGAACTAGTTTGGCATGGATAAGTAAGCACCTGAAGATGGCATTATTATGCCGAAACATGTAGTGCGAGGGAGAGAAGGAGATAAATGAGTGTATGCACTGCAAGACGGTTTAAATAAATCACGGACTTAAATCAGTGCAACAGGACGCTAAAATATAACATTACTTTAAGAGAGGTTACCAACTTGGAAGTATCTTCATGAAGGATGAGAATGGTGATCTGCTTGTAGATTCCAACAACATTCTGAGTAGGTGGAAGAATTACTTCTCACAGTTATTGAATGTACATAGGGTCAGTGATGTTATGCAGATATAAATACATACAACTGAGCCATTACTACCTGATCCCATCCCTTTTGAGGTTGAAATTGCTATTGCAAAATCGAAACGGTATAAATCGACAGGTAGTGATCAAATACTCACAGAACTTATTCAAATAGGAGGTGAAATATTATGTTTTAAGATCCCTAAGCTAATTAGTTCTATTTGGAATAATGAAAAAGAAATCCTGATCACTGGAAGGAGTATATTATTGTACCAGAAGAAGGGTGATAAAACTGACTGTAGTAATTGTCCTGGGATATCGCTGCTATCAAATTGATACAAGATTTTATCCAATATTCTTCTCCCAAGGTTAAGTTCATACATAGGTGAAATTATTGGGGATCATCAGTGTGGGTTTTGACATAAAAGATCAACTGCAGCTCAGATCTTTTGCATTCATCAGATACTGGAGAAGAAGGGAGAGTACAATGAGAGAGTACTTCAGCTGTTCATAGACTTCAAGAAAGCCTATGATTCAGTTAGGAGGGAAGTATTGACGATATTCTGAATGAGTTTGGGGTATCCATGAAACTAGTTAGGCTGATTAAAATGTGTTTAAATGAAACATATAGTAAAGTCCTTATAGGTAAATATTCGTCTAATAATTTTCCTGTCCAGAATGGTCTAAAACAAGGAGATGCTTTATTGCCACTGCATTTCAACTTTGCTTTAGAATATGCCATTAGGAAGGTCCAGGAAAACCAGGTTGGACTGAAATTAAATGGGACACATCAGCCATTGGTCTGTGCTGATGATGTGAATTTAATGGGTGATAATGTAGATACCATAATGAAGAACACACAAACTTTAATTGACACTCGTAAGGATGTTGGTTTAGAAGTAAACACAAAGAAACCTAAGTATATGTTGCTGTGTTGTCATCACTGGAATGCAGGCAAAATTCATGATGTAAGGATAGCTAATGGATGTTATGAAGAAGGCACATTTCAGATATTTGGGAATAACTATAACAAACCTAAACTTCATTCAAGAGGAAGTTGAGAGGAGACTGAATTAGCATAATGCTTGCTACTATTCAGTGCAGAACCTTTGTCTTCTCATCTGCTGTCTAAAAACATAAAAATTAGAATATACAAAACTATAATTTGCCTGTGGTTCTGTTCGGATGTGAAACTTGGTCTCTGACATTAGGGGAGGAGCATAGACTGAGGGTGTTTGAGAACAGGGTGTTGAGGAGAATATTTGGACTGAAGAGAGATGAAGTGACAGTAGGTTGGAGAAAACTGCGCAGTGAGGAGCTTAATAACTTGAACTCTTCACCAAATATAGTTAGAAAGGTAAGTCAAGGAGGATGAGATGGGCAGGGCATATAACATGAAGGGAGGGGAGGGGGGAAGAGAAGGAGAATGCATGTAGGATATTGGTGGGAAAGCCAGAAGGAAGGAGACCACTAGGAAGACCAAGACGTAGGTGGATGGAAAATATTAAAATGGATCTTAGAGAGATAGGATGGGATGATATGGATTGGATTGATCTGGCTCAGGATAGGGACCAGTGGAGGGCTCTTGTGAACACAGTAATGAACCATCAGGTTCCATAAAATGCTGGGAAGATCTTGAGTAGCTGCACAGTTGGCAGCTTCTCAAGAAGAGCTCAGGTCCAAAAGTGAGTGAATATATTAGTGATAAATAATGGTCACATATAATTTTAATCACTTGAGATGTCTAGTAGATATTTAGTGTTTTAACTTATCAGATGAGATATAGGCCCACTTCTGACACCCAACAATATAAAGTGACAAGAATCATAATCATAAACTTATATTTTGATGTTAATTAGAAAAGTATACCAAATTATACATGAACTGCATGTTTCAACCATATTCACTCTCCATTCAGATTTATGGTTGAAATACATAGCTCAAGTACATATTTGGTGTGCTACTGTAAATAACATCAGACTATCAATGTAGGTTTGTATTATTTAATAATATCTCTCTTTATTTTGAGTGATGGAAGTATACCTTAACCACGAAGTACAATATAGGACAATGGAAGGTTTTAATACAGACTTCTGCAGAAAGAGCTCTGTCTTCTGGAATATAATGCCATGTGGTCCAATAGAAGTAACAAATGTTGCAGAGGAATATGTTGCCTCCATCTTCAGGGTCAAAGAGTAAGCCAAGCAAGAAACCAACATGAGGTAGGCAGCAGGCCCAGAAGATGGAACTCTTCCTAGCCACTGCTATGAGAACCATAAATTCAACAGACTGGTGTAGAATTTAAATTTATATTTTATTTCATTTGTATGATGAAATGTGAAATTGAAATGTAAATTGTGATGTATAAATACTAGTATTTATTTAGTGTAACTTATCTTACATTGTATTAACTCATGAGCTGTAATCTAGTGAATTACTTGCCACAATTTGCTAATAGGTCATGACCTGCATTTTGAAGAATATTGAAGTTGTTCTTAGCATAGTATAAAAGTACAATCTTGTTTTGTTTTCTTTGCTTGATGCTTCAAATTTTTTCAGTAACCAGGCTGAAGTGCTCTGTGTATTCAGTCCAAATTCACATAAGTGTGTGAAATTATAGCAGAAATTTTTAAAATGTTGCCATATGGCATAATGTTCCTAGAATTAAGATATGATATTGGAAGAGAAATGATAAAATATTATCCCTATGTTTAAGTGCCATACCATGAGGACGTCTGGGAGAGTGAAGGTAAAACCTATAACACAGTGTTAAGTCTGACCCAGATTGCCCATTGTAATAGATAGGCTGGACAAATTTATCCATTTGGATAAATTTACCACTGTCTGAAGTTATGTAAGCAAAATTAATGTAAGTACTAGGGGTAAGGATTTCTTTAAAATGTCTATTATCCTCAGCTTGTCTCATTCTTCACACTGAAAACAATGTCAGATACTATGACTCCTGAGACCAGCAGTGAAAGGATTAAGCCATCTGTTGATTTATTCCCTCTGAGAGACGAATATGCTTTATCTCTTATGGATGTATCTATCTTCACATTTTATAATACAAAGGCAGTCATCAGATATATTTTATTTTGTTGCAGGCGACATTTGATATTAAGTGTGGTGGTGTGATTTCTGGCAAGCCAAGTGGGCAGATTGTGTCCCCTGGTTTTCCTCAGCTCTATGATGCCAATCTTCAGTGCAACTATACAATAGATTATCCAGACAGATATATCAACTTGGAGTTCACCTCATTTGATTTGGAAAGTGTGTACTACATTACCCATTTTTGTATTTCCATTCAATTTCTTCCAGCCACTCATTCTATAAATCTCTCATATCATCATTGAACATCTTTCATCTCAATCTTTCAACACTGAGTCTAGTGAGTAGCACCTCTGCTTTGTATTTAGATTGTCCTGGGTTCAGATTTCAACCATAATACTAACTGTCATGATCAAGATTTTTCATAGTTTTCATCAGCCACATCCTTTCAAATTTTTCATTAATCACCCCAACATTTGACATGTATAGTAGGAGTTACTGACAGCATTCTTGAACATAACTATAAATAAATAAATAAATGGATAACTCTTAATTTGTGGCAGGAAGTAAGTACATGGATAAATTGTATGGCCAGAATCATTTTTAACACATTAAAAGCTGAAGTCGCTCTTGGGCCTAAACTTTACACCATGAACGCATACGAAAGTTCACATAAGTTATGCTTCATTGCATTCTAGACTCCAGCGCCATATGAGAGCCAATACTGAGCTGTACCCTCTGGCAACTCAATATACAGTCCCCATTACCAATTGGATAGGAGATAACATAAGACCTAGAGGTGTTTTGGACATGTTCAGGAGGAGAAACACCATCCTACTGGAATATTGATTCTAGTTTTCCACCTCATTTTCATTCATTTTGCGAAGTGAACTGTCATACTTGAACACAGTGTAGTTCTCGTTTAAATTTTACAATTTAGGATGTTACCTGTTACTAGTTTTCAGTTCACATAATGCCAGTGATATTTTTCTATATTAGATTTTCTCCATTTAACATATACTTGGTTTGTTTAAAGCCATTGTGTGCCAAAGGAATGTTAATTTAAGGTTTCACTGTAGAGGTTTTGAAATCAGTTGCCATGTGTATTTGAATGCACAGAAAGACTTACATTTTGAAATTAGGTGTAAAGAAGGCTTTTGAATTTGTTTGAAATATTAATACCTGATATTTAAGATATGTGATTGGTAAATTCTTTATCAGGGGTATTTTCTGTATAATCTATACACATATTGCAGTACTCTAAATTATTTGAAGAGTTTAGGCATTGTAAAACAAAGTTAGTTCACTTTGTAGCTATGACCCAAACAGCTGCTAGTTTGAATTTCACCATCCACATGGAATATCCCTAGGAAACAACCATATTTACCATGTTTGCATTGTTAAGGAAGCCACTGAAGTAGTCAAACAGACCCACAACTTCAAAATAGAAAATAGGTACAAAATGAGCAAAGCCTTATTTCACCTCTTTTCTTCAAAACCTTCTCCTTAACTATATGTTCCCTACCATTAGACAATACTATAATCAGCCAAGTCTACCTGACCTGCCACTTGGGCAGTGGTTGCTCAGAAGTGGATGGGTAATTTTGACGGACCATTATCTGATGGTGGTTTTTATTGACTTAGGTAACCCAACTTGTAGAGGTTTAAGTCTCTCTTGAAGGGTAGCATTTATGAGGGAACACACCTGACTTGCACCATACAGCAAGCCACAGTGATTCATTTATGAGGGAAGAGTTCATTTATTTTATATCACCAGTTTATACATTGGGAGCACTGAGTTACTCAAATCACACAACTGGTTAGACCTAATACTGTGATTTGATAAATTACTAACAGACATAAATTTAACTAGGTTTCAGGATACTGGTATTACAGTATTTAAAGAATTAATTGTTGTGACCAAACACATCCATTGACTTGTGAAGCTGGAAACATAAAGCCCCGAGATGGCTTGTAGTAATGATGTATCATCTCTCCAAGAAGCAGCATGCAATGCTAATATGAATCCCTCATTCTTAATTGGCTTGTTTCAACTGAGTTCCTTGCCCTTAAATCTAATGTATTCAATCCTATTGGTCAGAAGTAACAAATATCTCATCATCCTGTATAATGTCTTCCCACATCTGCAAGCTTTCAACTCCATGACCTACTCCAATCAGCTGGACCTGACTTCCAAATCCCATGAAAGGACTCCAAGCTCCACAATGTGCTCATATACTTTCAGCTTAAGCAAAGCAATGTAATATTTCTCTGTTCCCAATTTACTTCTATTAGTCCCAGAAAAACAAATGTATGTACTCAAATTAATTACTTCCCTTGTGGCTTCAGTCAAGCCAAATTAATGAATCAAACTTTAAAGAAACAATTAAATATGCCTATAATTCTAGATGGCTACAGTACCATGATTCTTATTTCCTCCCTTACTCCCACCTGAGACCTTTAGTAGATCTATATTGGGCCATATTTTGTTTCTATTTCAGTCATCATGAAGACAATGACTGTGTGCCAAAATGTTAGAACATTTTCAGGATATGTCATTGATAAAACCCCAGAATTGAAGTCATATGTACTTTACACATGCTTGTGGAAGGTTTTTCGTTCTCAAAGTTCTGGAGCTTTACCAATTAAGTTGTGGCTTCTAATGTTATGGCATTTAAAATGTTCTGCATTGTGCGACAGGGAATGACAGATGCTACTTTGACTGGGTAAAGATATTCCAGCGGGCGCCCTGGTCAACCTCACTAGAAGAGATTGGCAAGTACTGTGGGTCGACTATCCCACCACCCAGACGGATCAAGAACATGGTTTTGATTTCCTTCAAGTCTGACTCCACCTATCAAGCCCAGGGTTTCCAGCTCAAGTATGAAGTTGACAGTAAGTACTCTCTGCCTATATTGCATAATGGTCTCAAATTGTGGCAATATAATGATTTACACAAAGATTCAAATTCTTTATCTTTGGTGTTTCTGGTTAGCATTGCTATTTGCATTATCATTGTGTTTAACCACCTACAAAAACATATACAACAAATATAAGTATAATTCTGGTTTTATATAGTGAGAGCTATCCCTGTTACAGGCCATGAAAGCCCATAGGGTTGTGAGACATCAAGGCTCCCACATTTTCTCTATACAGTTGGCTCACAAATGGCGATAAGGTTGTCAGCTTTACACGCTGGCCACCTTTTACCCCCCAGGAAGATTTCTGGTTCTCATTTCTTTTAGAGGCTGAGTCGACCCCAGAGCCATAATGTGGCTGGAAGTATTAGGTCAGTTAACAAATCCAGTTACCGCATTGGGACTCAAACCCACGATCTTCAGACTTGTAGCATAGTGCCTCAACCAATTATGCTACTGCATGCCCCTAAAATGTGTTAGACCTCTATTATGTCAATGAAACAGAAGTGTTGAGTACAGAGTACGAAATAATATATATCTATGAGATCAGAGGCTCATCAGATAACAAGGTGGTATGAAATGACTTCTTCAACATTTTTCACCATTTTCAGAAAGTAGGGTAAAATGCAATTTTGGATTGCAAAAAAATGGAGATTTGAATCTGTGCTCTTCAAGTGGTTTTGCCACATTGATGGACCAATGATCAGTGCAGAATCCACCCATTTCATGACTCAGTTTACTGTTTTAAGCAAGGAAAGAAACTGGTATGCATAAAGCATCTGGTAAATTAACTTCATCTCAAACCAGCCTGTAATGTTTTATGCATATGTAGGAGTTGATTTGAATGCATTCGTTTTTGTGCCATGCATGTATGCATGTGCAGTGAAATGTGGGTGGAACATTTGTGGGACTTGCAGGTATGCAGGCAGAACTCTTTCAGTTGTAGCACCACTTTTCATTCATTACCTTTCCATGTGTCCAAAATTATAGTTAAAGTCTGAGTCAACCTTTCTTATTTGTCTTGCACAGTTTTTTCACCTTACTGTGCATGACAAATTGCTCAAAATGTCGGCATTATTTAGTGCTTCACATGTTTATTACTCTTCAAAATATCATGAATCCTCTCATTTGCATTTTCTTCTGTTGAAATTATGTAAATCATACATATGCTTTTTACCTCTCTGTTTGTCAACAGTCTCAAACCAGTTTCTTGTCTGAATTCTGACTAGGAATATGTTTGCAGGCTGTGGTGGACGTGTGACAAGACCTGGCATCATTGAGACCCCCAGCTTCATGGGAAGGTACTATGAAGAAGCAAACTGCTCTTGGAACATTACAGCACCTCCAGGCCAAGTCGTATTACTCAGGTAAACACAGATATATTCCAAAGTACAGAATTAGCGCTTGAAAAGTATGGAGGTGAAAGAGTATTTACATAGCTATGATGTTTGGTTCATGTATGAAAAGAGACAAGCCATTCACTTGAATGGATGAATGAATGAATGAATTGAGTGAATGTATGAATATGTAAGAGTGGGATACGAAAATCCTGCCCTTGCAGCATGACCATCAATGATCTATTGTGCTTCCCCTTTTGATTAACAATTTATTAATCCTGCACTTTGAATGAAATGTAGGACTTTATTTATGTGGGTGTCATAATAGTCACTTGGTTCCATAAAATCCTGGCCCAGGTGACAAAATCATAAATAAGCTATGACCTCACAATTACATAGGATATGTGTAGTGGATTCATCTTCTAGGCACCTTTCACAAGTGGGGTCATCTGTCAAACCCAGTTTGAAAAGGTGTCCTTTTAGGTGACCTACCTGCCTACCTACCACCTACAACTCAGCGCTACAGCCCTGGGTGAGCCTTGGCCTCCTCTACAACCAGTCTCCCCAACAATAATGGATCCATGCATGATGACCTGAGGCTCGTTGCTGAACCCCCTCTTTGCATTCACTTCTATCAGGGAATGTGATCATGAAGGGTTTATCATAGACAAGTCTCAGTATCATTTTATTAGAGCCCTTCTGTAAGATGGGTTCTTTCTTCATGTCCAAAACTTTCAGATTCAGGTTTCCATTGGTCATTGCAGTTCCATGAGGCTTACTTCTTTTGGAATGGTTCTGGTGCTGCCCCACAATATGTGGTGTGTGTTCGGTTCACACCCAATGATGAGTTGCCTTTACCTGCTGTGGCAGTAATCAGTGATGTCCCTTACTTCCTTGCTTGGTGGTGATTCATGTGAATCATATGGAAGGTAGGCTGGAGCAATAATAAGCACCCCACAGCCTCCACCATATGTGTGTTATCATCACCATGGTCGCATCCCTAGAACAGAACTCCAGCACATGTAAGACATTAATATGGTTCCTGACATAAGTACAGAATCTGGCATTATTTTCATGTAGAACAGAATAAATTGTTCCCCCAGAATTGGTTAAACCTCTTATTTGGCCCTTGCATATCCAGGGTTCTTGAATAAGTGCTACATCTGCCTTTCCCTGAGCTAGCTGCTGGCATGAAGTTTCCGTAGCTACTTTACTGTGGTGTAGGTTAATCTGGACGAATTTTGTGGTGTGTGTGTGTGTGTGTGCGTGCGTGCACGCGCGTCTTACCTTTCATTTCACTCTTTATTTACTAGGGGAGGAGGGTCTGTCTCAATCCCCTCCTCCTTTGCTTTTTCCTTTTTGTCAGACCAGGTTTCTTTCGAAGGGGTCCTCTGATCTGCTGAGGTAAATTTGGTGCCAGGAGGAGTTTCCTCTTTTGCTTCTGTTGCTCCTTTCTGGTCATCTGAGGGAATAGGCTATCCATCACCCTCCCCCTCAGACACAGATTCAGAGGATGCTGTGTTTGGCACATCTCTTTCTTCTTTTTGGTGTTATGGTGTTGGATCTTTCAGGAGCATGAGTATACCCTGTGGAAGTCCTGTAGAGAACTTGGCCTCTTAAGGATTTTGGTTGAGATTTCTCCCTGCTTGGGCATGCCTACATTCCCTGGTTGCTGAATGCCCCCAGTTCTCGCTTTGCTTTTCCTTGCTCTTGCCTTTTTCAGTTTCTGTCTGGTGGAATCAGACAAAGTCTTCTTCCCCACTGGAGTCCATCAACCCCATAGACAAGGTGTCCCAGATCTTCTCATACTGTAGGTGTGCTAGAAGATGTGGTATGTCAGAACTACTGCCTCCCAAGAGAGAGGTTTTCGGTTTAACCTCAGGCAGGTTTCTCACCGCTAGTTCATCATTGCCATTGGCTGAAATCTCAACAGCAGGTTTGCTGGTTGCAGGCAGGCCCCTTAACAGTGCACTGGAGCTTCCAGCCCCATGCTGAAGTATTTCTTGTAGGGATCTGCTTGAAGGGGAGTCCCTCTTCTCCTCTAGGCTTTGAGGACCAGTTTTTTCCTTTTTAGTTTCCGTAGGTCCCACAAGTAATGGGAATTTAAAGAGTTCACCACCCATAGCACCACCTATTGGTGGAGGGCATAAATACAACAGGGTGCTACCTGGTGCCCCAAGGGGATCGTTCATGACACTGGCTAAATTCCACTCCAGTGCCATGCAGTCCTCGTGCTTTTGGTCCTGTTGAGAATAAACCCACAGGAGCCTCCAGGACCTAAAGTGCATGTTTGGGTGGAGGGAGATAGCCCAGGTGACCAGTGGGAGTGTGGTGCTAACTGACCATGCAGTTGTGACCAAGGAAAACCGCATGAAAGGATCCCATGCGGGTGGCAAGCCATTCCACATTCCAACCCCTCCACATGGGTTGGTTAAACCTTTTTGTAGTGTTAAGCCCGAAGGTTTGTGGCACCTTAACAATACTCTAGGAAGACACCTCAAATAGCTGAAATTACCCCCATACGAGTGCTCTGCTGCATTTGTTCCAGGCAAACCATAGTAATACCTGGGAGTCATAATGCTGCTGTGTGTGAGTCTGCTGCTATTAGATGCTATTGCCCTTATGGGAGCTTAGCCACCAGTCCCAGGTTGTCATACTAATCCAGACCCCGAGACTGACATTGCCCAACAGGACCACAAGGGGGTATCCCAAAGCTGTGCCCCAACACACCCTCTGGTCCATGAGGTGCCCCTGTCAGAGACAAAGCCATGGTTTGGTGAAGTGCATTAAGGATGGTATCATTACTACTTGTAACATACACATATGACCTTAATGGGTCATGGTTACTCCCACCAGCCAGTCACTTAATACATCTGTGTTTAACCCTCTGCCTCTCAATCCATGCTTTTGTGCTGGTCATACACAGAATTTAATCAGGCTGCTCTCTCTTCGTGAATAATTGTGAATCTCTCTCTCCAAGAAGCTGTAGCTGTTTATGGCTTCAGAACAGAAGAAGTTGCATTTTTATGGATCTAACTGACTTGTGCTAGCAGGACGCATTGTCAGTAACCTAGTTGGCCTTTTTTACATTTAATTATTCCCAAGAATTTTCTTCCTTTGACTTTATATATTCTGCTAGAGTTCAGTATTTAATTTATGATGTAATGTGTTCTGTTTAGAGCTATATGTTTTAGGAACACATCTATGATGCTAACTACTTCAGATCCATAAAGGAACTAGTGATGGATGGGCATATTATAGTCCATTTAGTTAAAACCTTCATGAACATATAGTTTGTATTATTGTTACAGATTCTCTAGATTTTTCGTGGAGTCCAGCCTGCAGTGCCTCTATGACTTTGTGCGAGTGATTGATGGGGACAGCTTTAGTAATGACAGGGTGATAGCACAGATATGTGGTGACCACAGCAACTCACCACCTGTCTTGGAGTCCACTGGCAACAAAATGCTTGTTCACTTTCGGTCTGACTACAGTCGAAATTTTCCAGGTTTCACAGCAGCTGTTATTTTCAAGACAGGTGAACTTTTTGATTGTTCTTACCAATGTACCAGAATTGCTTGACACAGTGCAACAATTGCACGGATCAATTGTGGAGAGTGTGGACCCACAGCATGTAACAAACAGGTGTTGATTCCAAGTCACTCATAGAGTAGCATATGCCTTGCAGAAAGCAGAAAGTCTTACCATCTGTGTTGGCTTATGTCTGTTTACATTTTTACAGTTTCATCTACTAAATGGATTGTCAGAATCATAATTATCAAATTCAGATTTTTTGGCTATTCAGTTGAAATCCAAGCTTATGAATGGCTCTTCTGGCTGAAATATTCCCCACCTCCTGCACCTTCAGGAAAATAGAAGTATCTATGACTGGGGTTCAATTCCCAGTAGGAACAAGATTTTTCTGTTCTCCATAGCATCCAGATTGACCCTGGGGGCCACACATCCAATGGGTACAAGGGATGATTTCCTCAGGGGTGAAGCAGACCACTCACCTTCATCTAGTGCTGAGGTTAAAAATGATGTTCATGTACCTCCACTCCTCCAGGTGTCTTAATGTCATTGAGCGTAATTAATTAAGTACAGGGACAACTTTATTTTTTTTTTTACTTTTAAATTTATTAGTTTCAGAATTAAAATAAAATATTTGTTGTTCATACAGTAGTAAATTAATTTTTTATAACAAAACATGTTTTTGTTGATGGATTCACAAACCAGTAATGACTAATGTGATTAGTGGAATATTTTCACATCACAGATAGCTTTCTCCTCTGTCACATATCACATACCATTTTTTTTTTTTAATATAAGCCACACTTTCTTCCCAGAATTGATGCTTTCAAAATCAGAATGTTGCTTATGAGCAGTTCATAAAGGAAAAAAAAAGGTAATTTGTATAGGTATGGTAAAAAATATGTAGTAAGATTGCATTCTAGCACTGATGTTGTTGAGAAAGTGAAGGTGTTGAACTGTACACTGGTGGTAGAACAAATGTTTGTTGTAATTTACACCCACATTTTTATGATAAGAGAAGTGAGGAATATTTCTGTATTTTAGCATCCTGTTGAAAATCTTTAATTAAATGTCTCTGTATCCACAGTCCGTCAGTAATGCAACAATTGTTTATTCACCATTTAACACCTAACACCACATGTTTCGGCTGTAGATGGCCATCTTCAGGTGTCTTAATGCATGCAAACTGTTACACTGCTCTGATGTGCATTAAAACCGCGTGTTGCAGTCCACATAAGAATAACATAAATAATTAATTAAGATCCATTAAAATTTTCTATTAAATTTTTTTTTGTAAAATCCTATTCCACCTCATAAGGGACGTTGTCCACTTGTTTGGAGCTCCGTGATATTCCAGAAGGTTCGTTTCTGTAGCTTGTTTTTCTGTTTGTTATCCAATTGTTTTGCTACGTCTGCTATCTGTAATATGCCCCTTGCTTTTGCGCACACTCTAGCAGAGCGTGGTGTTGTCTTCACAAAGCTCCAAACAAGTGGACGACGCCCCTTATGAGGTGGAATAGGATTTTACAAAAAAAAAAAAATAATAAAATATTTTAATGGATTTTAATCAATTATTTTAAGTGGGCTGCAACCCGTGGTTTTAGCGCACATCAGAGTAGTGTAACAATTTGGGTGCATTAAGACTCCTGAAGATGGCCATCTATGGCCGAAACATGTTGTGTTAAGTGTTAGATGGTGAATAAACAGTTGTTGCATTATTGACGGACTGTGGACACATATACATTTAAGTGATGAATAATATTGATAAATGCAGTTTATATAAATCCATAAATTATTTTTTGTTTTCAGATCACATTATTTTGAGGGTGCAGCTTATATTGAAGGGTGCCTTATATTTTGGAAAATTAAATATATCCCTTTAACTCAGATAACACAAGGATCTACCATCCCCATTAGCCAAGCAAGAAACCAGCATAAAGCAGACAGCAACCCCACTATATCCAATAAAAGGAAGAAGAAAAACTTTTAACAATATAGCTGGTTGCACTATCAGGATTGTCATTGGGTGCTGTCTGCATAAGAGTACCTGGATTTAGTGATATTCTTCCAGTGCACTGTTGCTCTAGGGATAATTTGTACCACTGTACTTTTCCTCATCTTGTGAGTTCATTTTCTAGAAATTATTTCCCTCATTATTCACATTTCTTTTGAACTACACACAGTAAATGGCTGAGATGAGAATTTTTTATTTCACTCTATAGTTAAAGAAATTAATGTGCTAATGTTTGTATACTGGCTTTGTTGTAGCTTGTGGTGGGACTGTGCAAGTGAACAGCACAGCCGGCAACCTGAGGCCTGTTACCACAACAGACCCATTCATGTACTGTGGGTGGTTGATATTAGGATCACGTGATCAGCAGATCCAACTGTCTGTGACATCTCTCAACCTTACACCATGCAGCAATCTCAGCAACAATACCACACGTGTTGACAACTGCTCATGTTCATTCTTGGAGGTGTGTTCTCATCTTGTTGCCTTTCTTTATGTAATTTTCTAACCTATGTATTTTATTCTAATTGGTTCTTTTATATAAAGTTATTCCACGCAATTCTTTATAACATGAATTAATTCATACTCTCAGAAATGCTTTCATCATTTTTTATGTGCACACAGATTTTGCTTGCATGCAGAATTTATGTAGTACAGAATTTTTTTCTGTCTACTGCAATCTGTTAAAATGGGCAAAATTTCAAGAATAAGAAGATACTCATTTTATTTACTAGCTCAGTTTCTCCCATTATGTATGTTCCTCACTCTCAAGCAACAAATAATATTATTCCTTGCAAAATTTCCAAGCTTTGCAGAGAATTCTTCGTGTACTTTATGATGAAGACTATTTAATTTAGATTAACATGCAGTGCCTAGGGGAATTTACAGCATTTCACATATATATACATAATGTAACATGGATGGCACGACAGGAAGTAGGGGTCACGTGAACTCTGTGTTTTTACAAATGACGTCACATACCCCCACTCCCCCCACCATTACGCAACGCTCGGTAAACACCCCTCCCTGCTAGGCTGTGATGTCACGCAACAGGCGAGTCCATGCAGCGACTATTGCTAGGCAATGCATAGGCAGAAACACCTGACAACAATACCTGATATCTGTTGCCAAGCAGCAATGTGTTCTCTATGTTCTCTGTGCTGAGCCTAAATAAGGAGCAGCGAACGCTGTTCAGGAGTAGTGAGTACTGAGTTACTAGAGAGAGAGAGTTAGTAGTATTCAGTATGAGTTGAATTGTAGCAGCCACCAAAGCCAGTTAGTATTCAGGGTATCCAGTATGAATTGAAGTCCAGCAGCTATGAGTTGAGTTGTATCGAATGAATGGCAGTGACTCCAGTAGGAGGAGTAATTGTGATACTTCAGATGGTAGTAGTTGTGAAATTGTGAATTGTGTAAGTGTAAGAGCGAATGTGGAATAAATTTGCTAGATCCAAAGCGGCGTGAAGTTATTTGTCGCGCATTACATACACCCAACATGTGACAGTAATTTATTTTTAAATGCTGTTATGGAAAATTTGGCTGGTGGTTAACACAAACTGAAGGATCCAACTGTTGACTATTTTAAAAATTACTGCTGTTATTTGTACCTTACTGTGCAGCATTACTCACATTTACTATAACCAGTCACACTGCATTAGTACTGGTGCCATAACTGGTATCATCATGTCTAATTTTTTACAATTTTTACTACATTTTCTCTATTGAGTATGATGTCAAAATATCATAAACATTAATGTAATAAAGCAAATCAGATAATTTTCTGGTGGCATCATTACTTTGTTTTAGTTCAGTTTAGTGATAATCATTTGTGTCCTCTCCAGTATGAGGCCTATCGAAACTAGTTATGAATGTTGCAAAACAGAATCCTACTGTCGTTTCAGAGATCTTCCCACATTTCTTTTTTCTTCCAGCTTATATTTTAAAACACGTTTTAGAATCCTTGTCAGAACTCATTCTGTCAATATGCTCAGTTGAATAATATAATTTGTAAATATTTTTTGTTCTGATTTTATTCTTCATGAGGAGTGTGTGTAGCTGACCATCTCATTACTCCCTGAACTTTGCCAGGTTATGCTGTGGTGGTAATTATCTGCAGGCTAAAATTCGTTGAACTAATGCATTGCAGTGTGTCACATGGAACCTGCTGACAGTTGTACAGTGAGTGTGTTGTATCACCAAGGGGACAAACAAGTGTCCTTGTTTGCAGGTCCGTGATGGTCCTGGTCCAGTGTCAGAGTTGATTGAACGCATCTGTGGTAACACACTCCCTCCTACCATCACTTCATCATCCAATCAGATGTGGGTGTCATTAACGTCAGAGACTGGAGTTAATGCAAACACATTCAATGCTATTGTCAGTGGGGTTGGTTGTAAGTAAGCTTTATGTACACTTCTAGAGGTTCATAGTAATCAATTCTGTCAGTACACAATGAAGACAAATCAAATACATAAGCACTGATTAGAATTAAACTTAAGAAATTAAGAAATCCTGGTTATTTAAATGAAAGATAGAGAAAATAAATTCAGCTGAAGAAATTAGGAGCGGAGATTGAAATCTAGTCTTACACACTGCATGGTTCATAATAATAGGTGACAGAGCACTCTCCTTACTGAAATTGTATTTCTGTTTTTGGGCAGTGACACCATGTTGTGGTGTGCTGGTTTCCATACATGTCAGATAAATTAGTAAAGTGGCTGACAGAAGAGATTGCCCTCATATTTATGTTACTATACATAAAGCAACTGGGAATTTCGTTTTATTGGTGGACCCAGTTTCTTGAAAATATGAACAGACTAACCCTTAATACTGTTACTTCTTTAATATGAAAACACAAATCTCAACAAATAACCATGAAAATTGTATAGTATTATGTGGGATAGAATGAAAACCTTAGGACTGGCTGGAGACTTTGTAGTTTTCCAAGCGTTAGAATAGCACATTTGAACAGTTTCACATTCTTCCCTAGTCACTATTAATAATTATCCTCCAGTTATCATTCAGAACCTCAAACTATCATACTTGAAACATGTTATGAAATAAGCAGACAGATTTAGTTATTGCTGACTTTTAGTCTCTGTATTCTGTTGTTTTAGATATACACCAGTTACGGGCAATGATATGTAACTTCAGTTTTATACTATTGCAGAAATTTATATTCATGCTGCAAGAAGTTTATATTATTAAGTCTACAGAATTTCAAAGATCTTTTGTAATTTTAATCTTTTTTAATTACTTTTTTCTAGTTTGACTGCCAAATGAAGATCCTTGCTAATCCTATACTGTTGTTTTTTATTTTTATGGATGGTACATGTTACACTCCGTTACCTTATCTCCACACTTAAATTACCATAAGATTAACATGGGTTCAAAATTATTAACAATTCGGAGTTGCAGGATAGCTGTTCAGTTAGCCCACAAATCAGGAATACTGAGTAGAACTCATAAAACCTTTTTTCCTGTTGTATGGATTTCCAGTGCTGCAAATTATATGTCGTTAATGATGCATCTGGGTAATATACATGTAAAATCCGAGAGTAAAATGTAATTGATACTGATACTGACAGCATCGTTGAATGAAAAATTTGGAAAAATATGTCAGAAATTATTGTCATCATCGTCGCCACCACTACCACCATTTTTTTTTCTTTTTGTTCCTTTCCTTTTTCCTTCTTTTATAATGCTCTTCTTATCTTGGGAGAAACTTATGACTGAAGTGCAGATTTCTTTGCATGTTAAACTTAACAGTCATAATCTAAAAATATATATTCCATCTCCTTACCAGATTTCACATGCTTAGCTCAAGTTGTTCATTATTGTTGCTCTCAAACTAAAAGCTGAATATAAATTTTATGCAGTCACTGTGTTGCTTCACATAAAAGAAGTACTTTAACCAGACATTGTGTGTTTCTTTTTAAGATTTGTTTTTGTATGTTATTTCAGGACCCAATATGGTGGGAGTGGGAGTGGCACTGGTGACACTCCCACCTCATCAGTTTCTGCTTCTGCAGTGTTGTTATTATTGATTGTAGGAGATTAAAAATTGTGATATTTATGTGGCCTGCAGTGGCGTAACTTTCATGTTAGTCCTAACTGGGTGATTCAGAAGCTGAAACAACACACACACAGCATGATGATTTCCTAAGCTGCATCCACTTCTTTGTACCAAAGAAATTAGAGATGCCAAGTGCATTTGTGTGTAAAATTATAGAATTTGGATCATAATCATTTCCTGTCTATAGTATGCTCAGAAAGTGGCTTTGACTGTTTTTAATGCTACATGTCACTTTCTTTGCTGTCACTCTGTACTCAGGAATCCCTCTGGTGGGTCTCAGTTTTATTTATCAAAAAAGCATGGTATGGTGGGTTGTGGTACAAAAATAAAATCACACTGTGTTATGTAAGAACCAGTGACAGTGTCCATGTACCATAGTTTCTACAATGATCATTCTCTTGCTTTTATCGAACTAGTTAGCATTCTGGACATAGTGATTTTGAATTCTTGCCGGGAAGTGCTGTTGTAAGATTTCAATGATGTAATATAAATATACATGTATGAGTATGTTAGAATGAATATATACACTATAGTAGCTTATGTGGGGGCACACAGTAGCGTAGTTGGTTGAGGGGCTGTGCTACAAGCCGGAAGGTCGCAGGTTCAAGTCCCGACGAGGTCATTAGATTTTTTCAGTTGACCTAATCCTTCCAGCCTCACTAGGCCCTGGGGTTTACTTAGCCTCTAACAGAACTGAGTACCAGTAATTAATTAAATAATTTTTCCTGGGGAGTAAAGCGCGGCCGTTGCTGACGACCTTACCGCCATCTATGAGCCGATTGTCTAGAAAATGTGGGACCCTCAACGTCTCACAACCCTATGGGCCTTCACGGCCTGGTACAGGGGTAGCTTTACTTTCTTTTACAGCGGCTTGTGTATAAACTATTTTTTCTTCATCCTTCTGTTATTGTTGTTGCTGTTGTCATCACTGTTGAGAGAAAATATAACAGACTGACATTTTTTCAAGAATGAGTAATAGGTGGTTAGAGTAACAGACAAATGAAATATTGAATTTGAAAAGGGCTATTTGAAAACACACACACACATATATATATGAAAAATATCTAAACACCAATAATTTGAAAAGTAAGTAACTTAACAAACTAATGAAATGAAAAAGCAGAACTGAACAAATCCCCATTTTTTTGTCACATGTTTTGAAGTGCTCTTAACCCTTACACTGCTGCAGTCGACATATGTCAATCTCTGAAAAATGTGGCATCCTTGCTGCGATCGACAAAACCTGTATTGCAACTGTAGAGTTTCAAATCTCGGGTTTCTTTGCACCAATCTCATTCAGACTTGGTGGGTGCATAGAGTCATCTATTGGGAACATAATTAAGCATCATTCATTTCAATGGCTGCATTCTTCTGCCCTCTAGCTTAAGAAATGTAAAAGGTTGCATCTGCACAGTGAGGCGCGTGCTCTGTGGTTGTGTGACGCGGGTATTTCACAGGGCTAGTAAAAATGGCTTCATATAGTGTGTGGTGCTTTCTGTAATGATTTAATTAAGTTGTGGACTTTGGTCAACATGTGGCGTAGTGATAAGACTAGGATATTGAATTATGTACTTTTTATTTATTTATTTATTTTTTTTTATTTATTTTATTATTTATTTATTTATTATTTTATTTATTTAGATTTATTCAAAAATAATTCAGCACAGAGGGTACTGAGAGTTACTTAACATACTAGCAGGGAAAGGGTTAACACATAGACATTTACAGAGTTGTGACATGAACTAATATCATCACGCACACTGTGTAATACTGTGCTTTGGGATCTCATTTCTCAGATCATGCATGAAACTCCATCACACTTTACTTGACAGTTTCAGGGAATAGAAACAAATGTAAGCTATGTTGAATGTGCAGCTGTGTGTGGGTCACCCATACGGAATGTGACCAGTGTGCCACAGGATCTAATATCCCCAGGCTACCCATCCAGTTATCCTGCTAATGCAAGATGCCGTTGGATCCTCACCAGTAATGAGTATCGGCGGTTTGATCTGCATTTTGTCGATTTAGATATTGAAGCCAGTACCAACTGCACTGCAGATTATTTGACAATAGAGGATGTCCATGTTCCATATGTAAGTACAGAATGGCAAGAGTGGAAAAGGCACACTTGCAATATCTGTTGAAGTTTTCTATGCTCAGAATGAAATTTCTGAAACCTTTTAACCGTTTGTAAGTTGATAAACATATTTCTCTGGTGTAAGTTTTGAGGTTTTCATGGCGATGACTGTTTTGGCCAACGTTTCGGAGGAACGTCGGCCAAAACGAAGAATACACAGCGCCTAAACCCAGAAGACGACTTTCTTCATATTTCTACTGGTTTGATATACTATTTCTAGTTTAAATTTTGAACCTATGAAAGCACATCGTGAGTTAATACAATCATATTTTAGAACTTTTAAGAATTGTTATTTTTAGCCTCTGGAGCTTGGATAGCATAGTTGGTATAGTGACTAGCTATGGACTTGGATGATCAAGAGGTTGGAGTTTGAGTCCCAGTAGTGTCAAGAACTTTCTCTTCTCCAAAATGTCCAGACTGGCTCTGAGGTCCACCCAACGTTTTATCCAGTGGGTACTGGGGGCTTTTTCCCAGGGGGTAAAGCAACAGGGGCATGAAACTGGCCACTCACCTCCAACTATTACTGAGGTCAGGAAAATGTAAATCTATACATTCACTCTGCCATATGCCTTCATGACATGGTGCTAAATTAGTTAAGCACAAGGAAAACTTGACCTTTTCTACCTTTACACAGACTTTAACCCTTTCATACTCAAATAATAGGAAGAAGGACATGTTTAGAGATGATAAATTTCTCAAAAAGACATTATTCAGGTGACATTAAAGAATCAGCTACTTTTTATTATGTTTTTATTTATTTTTAATTTTTATTGTATTTTATTTTGTATTTTTTGCTTTTCATATACATCTATAGTAGAAATGAATAATAAATTGTCACTTTCAACAGAGGCTTTCATGTCCATTCAGTACAGGATTCAAGTGCCTTTTACTTTAATATGATAAGGCCAGTGAATATGTCATACCTTGCCATGTTACTGTGCAATCAGAGACTGAGAGAATTATGTTTGACATTCATGATGTATCCTTGTATGATAGAGCCGAAACGAAGATAAAATTATACGTTACACTCCATTTATTTCCAGATAATTGATTTAACTCATAATGAACGAAAAATCATCTTACATCATTGATTATTCATATAACTGTTATTCTGTTCATTTCAGAATCACAGCACAGGAAATTAAGCCATAATTAAGGTGTTTGTTTCTAATTTTTCATCCATTTACTTAACTGAACGCTAAATGACTCAGTCCAGTAGCTTAATATGAATAAATCATTTTGCTTTCTTAGCATAACACACATGAAATTCGATCCAGTAATAATCACAAAGATTCTTGGAAGAAATTGGAATGCATCTCTTAAATATTTCAATCCAGTTTTCATCCATTTACTTAACTGAATGATAAATGACTCAGTTCAGTAGCCTGAAATGCATAAATCATTTTGCTTTCTTAGTGGCGTAACACTTATGAAATTTGATCCAGTAATAATCACAACAATTCTTGGGAGAAATTGGAATGCTTCTCTTTTAAATATTTCAGTCCAAATAATGAAGCCAGAAGGAACTGTGAATTAATAATTATAGAAATCAGTGATCCATATTTATATGTAACTTTTGCCTGTACGGATTCCAGTTTACCAATTGTAATCTCAGTCACCATTACAATGTTTGTAATTGTTAATGTGTGAATAAATGTCTCATATGATATTTGTAGATACATTTATGATAACTCCAGAAAAAATTCACATTCATAGTTCCAGTGGTTCTTTAGTTATATCCATTAAGGAGAAAGCTAAATAATGATTCTGCACTTTGAGCAGAAGTTTGGTATTTTTAACACTTTTTCCACACAAATATTTGGATCATGTATTAAATATCACTGGTGCCACTGCCAGTGCAGAAATTCATGAAACCGCCTTATTGATATTATTGATGGTAGGAAATTAGGAAGTACAAAGGTAGAATAACTGTCAAGTGGCAAGATGTTTTTAAAGTTTTCATAGCTCTGTCCTTATGAATTGAGGAACACAGGCTAATAAGAATAAAACAAACTCACATTTCTAAGGTTGCAAGGCTTGTCACTTTGATATTGTTCTAATTGATAAATTTGTTAACAGGTGAAAAGGATTGGATGCTGCACTAGGCGTCTGAATGTGAGAAAAAAAACTGTCTTTCTGAAGTTTCCTTACACTTTGCAGGGTCATAATGTGATCACAGAAGGACTTGGCCAGAATTATGTCTTCAACGGTGGTGCACCAGACCGTTACCACTCCTTTTCCAATGTAAGTGATAATATGAATCAGTAACCTCAGTTCTGAGGTTTGGCACTGCTACTGGCTGCCTCAAAATGTCTCAACAAGCCTGTAATGTCCAGTTGTAATACTGGGCTTTGCTTTTCAAAATGATCATGATAATGCCACAGTCTTTGTTTTATATGAAAGTGTTCGTATAGTCCTTAGTAATTTGCAGATATCAGAGTTTTCAAATTGGGGTTCCAGTTCTTTTATTAGTTAGTTGGTGTTTTATTTAAAATTATTTGTCTGTTATATTAGTGACATGGTATAAAATGATAAGTTACATAAGGGTTGTCAGATATTAATTCTGTATGATTGAAGTATTGACCTGTTGCAGCTTAAATATTGCAACATGTTCANTTCATCGTCAGTCTACGAGCTAGTCACATCAAGCAAATTCACCCAGCAGGCTTCGTCGCCAGCGCTCGGTCTTCGGAGACATCGGCAGGCTGCGCCGGGCACGGCTGCCTCGGCCCTCCAGCGCTCTCACACCCGACTCACTGGGGCACCGCGCCTGGACTCGCCGGTGGTCGTGTTACGGTCCGACCCACTGGGCCTCTGGCGTAGCCACTGCCTCATGGCTCCTGCGACCGCGCTCAACGACTAGCCTTTTCACCTGCCATTCACCGTAACTAGCCTTTCTCCTTACCGGCGCGCGCTGCGCTACCTCACCGGTCCATCATCTCAGCAGCCACGGTCCTTTTCAGGGCCAACAAACTGTTCCAAAGAAGTGGGTTGTCATAGGAGTAGCGACAAGACCACACTCATCGACAAGAACCCCACAGAAGTATTGACCTGTTGTATCTTAAATATTGCAACATGTTCGTGGAAGGATTGGAAACACTATAAATCTTAGTAAATATAATCAGTCTCCTGACTGATACTTGAATTCAGTACTTCCTGAATACAAGGCAAGAGTGCAAACTGCTACACTATGATAATTAAATTGGAATTGAAATTTTCCCAACATTGAATGTTCTCTGAGTACACATTTCAGTGAAAATGTATAAAAAAGGTGGAACCATCCTTCTTGTATTCAGGAAAATCCGTAAGCCTTCTGGTACTGTCCAGTTTTTCCTAGTGTTCTTATTATTTTACAGTTGAATTTCGAAAAATGCAAATTCATCTAGAATGACTTTATTAAGTCTTTTATGTGAGAACACAAAAGATTCAGCACCATTAATCCAAAATCATGTCACTAGGTTTAGTTAAAATTTAGTTCAGCGCAGTGCACATGCTATCAACCTATTTCCCTGAGGTCCATTCTGTTATTTCCCTTCGGTCTTTTCACNATAAGAACATGCTGGATAAGATGCTGGATGACCTTGGGGACAGAAGAGGATACTGTCATTTGAAGGAGAAAGCTCTAGATCGCATTAAGTGGAGGAATTGTTTTGGAAGAGACTGTGGACCTGTCGTCCCGACAGATTACTGATGATGATGATGATGATGATGATGATGATGGAGCATATTGAGGCTGGGATACAGGTTGGATAACTGAGAAACTGGGGTTTGATTCTCAGCAGGGGTAAGAGATTTTCTCTTCCCTGGTGTGTCCACACTGGCTCTTGGGATAACTCAGCCTTCTGTGGAGTTGGTAGAAGGACTCCTTCCCTTGGTGTAAAGCCACTGGAATGCAAAGCTGTCAGGTCATCTACATGTAATGCCCATACACCTTCAGGCATGGTGCTTAATTAAGCACAAGGGAAAGTTTACTTTTAATAGGTTAGGTAATCTTGATGTTAAATTATGAGGTTAGTTGATATTACTGTTTTCTTAGCTATGAATCTTTATCGTTTATTGGTATAATACAGTCATTTGCCTGAAGATGGGAATAAAGTCCATTCTTATTATTCTGTCACAAAAAATGGCCAATTTCCCAAACAATTGTTGTTATAAGAATATCGTCATGTGACTGACTATAGAAAGGTAATTGGATTTATTGGTCTCTTAAAGATTGTAACTACAGGTAACTCTAGCACTGTCACTAATTCACACATTCTGCAGTTCACTACAGCACACACTAAGTCTTTTTGGTCTGGTCTGCTTTCACTGGTTGTCTGGTAACAGTTTCCATCAGCATAAATTTCTCAGCTTCTGTGTTCAGCGGCCTCTGTCCTCACTCGCTGTTGTCTGTTCACAACAAGACAGTGTTGCTTTGCAATGGCTTGCAACAACCAGGGCTCCTCTACCTCCCATGCCTCCAACAGGGGCGACTGTCTGCAATGACTTTTGACAGGTCTGTCTCCCAACTGCTAACTGCAGATTGAAGACTGTCCAAACTGACTGGCTTATTCCATTGGCCCTTCTGGCATAGTCTCGGGATGGACTCAGCAGAAAATGTCTTATCTGTTGCAGTTCTTCTATTGTTGCCTGACATGACTATCATTGTAGACTGCATAGAAAACAGTGGGTCATGTGTTGTTACCATGATGTTTCCTAGCAATGGCTGTGACTGCTGAAAACAGTTACACACAGCACAAAAGAAAGAAACCAACACACCAAACAGTATACACCAAACATGTGTGCACAACAGAAGTAACCATGGCATGAAAATCTAAAAGTAACTTAACATATTTTATAATTATCTTAGATTAAACATAAAATGCAGATTACAACAGCATAACAACAGAGCAACAGTTTTTATCTACAATCTTATACACCTGATGATGGCCAGTTAAGCCAAAATGTGGTGTTAAATTAATCAATAATAAGAAGAGACAGAGAGCCCTTCAAAGTGTGAAATTCAAAATATTATCATGTGTTAAGAGTAGCTCTCTACAGGGTTTGGTTGGATATTTGATTTATTGACCACTTATGGATCATAACTAGAAGTAATTATAACAGTCTATGGCGCCACAGTATGGTGGCCCAGAATGAAACTCAAGACAAGCAAGGCAGAACTTAGCAAACTGCAAAAGTTGGCTTGCTTAGGTATCACAGGAGCAATTCGAACATCTCCAACAGCTGCACTGGAGATACTCCTTGGACTCCCCCCACTGCATATACAGTTGGAGGCAGAGGCCAGGGCAGGAATCTACCATCTCCAATGCAATGATCAATGGAAACCTAGATCCGATGGTTTCGGCCATGCATACATAACTCAGAACATGAAAAAAGAACCCATATTACAAATGGGGTCTGACAAAATGATACTGAGATTGGATCTGGTGTGTACTGCTATGCCACAAAGTGGAAACTTAGTTTCAGCCTTTGGCAGTACACAGCAGTATTCCAGGTAGAAGTATGTGCCATTATGGCATGTATTATGGAGAATTTAGATAGGAACTATAGAAATAGGAACATCTTCATTCTATCTGACAGCCAAGCTGCACTTAAAGCGCTTGACAAACACCAGATCAACTCAAAATTGGTCTGGGATTGCCACCAAACCCTCATGGAACTGGCCAAACATAACAGGGTACAACTGATGTGGGTGCTGGGGCATGAGGGTATTACTGGAAACAAAACAGCAGACCAATTAGCTAAAACTGGAGCTGAACATCTGCTTATAGGACCTGACCCAGCCTGTGGCATCTCTATAGGAGTTGCCAGACAGGCAATCTGGGACTGGACAAATATGAAGCACAAGAAATACTGGGGATTCTTGACTGGACTCAGGCAAGCAAAGGTACTCATACAAGGACCCTCAGCTAAGAGAGCGAAGGAACTGTTGAAGTTAAACAGGAACTAGCTACGATGGGTGGTGGGACTGCTTACAGGACACTGTTGCCTTAAAGGACACCTCTTCAAACTGGGACTAAGTGATAGTCCCACTTGTGGGATGTGTCCAGAAGAAAATGATACAGCCACACATATCCTGTGCGAATGGGAGGCCTTAGCTTATTTAAGACTACGTCACTTGGGTCAATACTTTATGGAACCAAGTGACTATTTCGACACCCCCACGTACAAAATCCTACACTTCATTGGAAGCGCAAGATTGCTGAGGAGATAATCAAAAGGGGAAGCACAATAGACCACTGTAGGTCACAGTGCAAGGGCCAAGAAGGCCTACCCCTCATACATTCATTCATTCAACTATAACAGTCTGATGGAATTACACACTCCAAATACCACACTAACTACAGCGTACATAAAGTCTTTTCAGTCTTCAGTAGTCATTTCCTGGCAGTGGATTTTAACACAGTAATTCTAGCAGTCTCACTGAATTACACATTTGAAATATTGCTGTAACTACAGCACACATGAATTCTTCTCTGTCTTCACTAGATGTTTCCTGGTAATGGATTTTAACAGAGGAGATTCTTTAGCTTCTGTGCTAACTGCACTGACTAAGTCTTCTTGTCACAGGCTCCCTTCAATTCTCTAAGTGCTTCAACTGACTAACTGGCAGGCTGGCACCGATTATCACACTAACCTCCTAGTTTTCTCTCCACAGACTGACTTTCAACTAACTGTAGCTCTAAGTCTAAGTCATGTGTTACGATCGATGGTTAGTCAGCCAGTCTCTCTTGGAATAAAGCACCCATCTAGGGCTTATGACCACGTTTTTATGACTGTCAGGCAGTTGTGGGTTTGTTGATGTGGGACTCTCTCGCTGACAAGAGGACGGGTCTGTCATATAGAATTCTTCCTGAGCCTCACCACCGCAGTCATTCTTGGGTCTGAGTCCCATGGGAATTGGCGACCATATTTTAATGTTTCAGATTCAAAACTTCCCTTTTCGTCATCTCCTGTGACTCGCAGAGCTACAGTGGTGGTATTCGACCCTGCCTTGGCTGGTGTCCTCGTTATATAACCCCTTTGCACAGACCAAGTAGAAAACATTGTTTCCAACAGTTCCTCTGTTGTGGCTCAGTTGTTGCTTGTTAAGAATCTTCTGCCTGAAGCAATGGCTGTTGTCTTGTTGTTTGTTTCATGGTTGTTGCCTAGAAACGGGTCTGTACACCACAATATGAACAAAATTGCACAGGGATAGCGGAGTGTGAGTGCTAAAATTGGAATACACAGTGCAACAGATGCTGCAACACAATATTTTGAGTTAAGTACTGAGGTGCATGTGTGCCCAACAGAATCCCATTCACCAGAGACTGAGAATAATGCACAGCTTGGCCATTTTATGATATTTGGGAAACCACAAAATATGATAGCCAAGTTGTTCCTTATTGTCCCACTAAGGGATGCTGTCATGATGTAAATGAAAATCCTCAGAGTGAATATTTTACATGCATCATTATCAACCACATATGAAAGTCATAACGTTTTCCGCACCGAGAACAAATCCTGCTTACCTCTGAGGTTCATAACTCTCTTCATATTTGCCCAGATATATAAGCTACACCCCCACCAAAGTATATGACCCTTAAATGAAATAAATGTCATATGCATTTACATCATTACAGACAGCAATCAGAAAATCCCAGAGTAAGCCAGCTTGATGTTGCTCCTTGTAGGTACATACATTATTTGAAACATGGTAATTTAACTCTTTTAAGCCCAGTGGCTACTCTATGTACCACCTGCTATAACATACCAGAACCCTACATTTTGCCCATGGAGTGTATTTGAGTGTTTTTTATGGTTATCACAATTAATAGCGATTGGTTTTTCCATTCACTAGTGATATGAGAGTTGGTACTTGGAATATTAGAAGTATGTATAGGGCAGGTTCAATCAGGGCAGTGGCAGAAGTAGTCTCAAAATATAAGTTAGATTTACTTGGAGTACAGGAGGCCAGAT